TAGGGTGGAGCAAAACTGGTCTGTCACCAGTTGTCTCAGGGGTAAGAACCCAGGGAAGTGTTCTGGGTCCCCTTTTATTTTTGACTTTTATAAACGATCTGACCAATGACACTACAGTTCAGATCAAACCTTTTGTGGACGATTGTGTGGTTTATAATAAAATCAAAACAATAGACCACGAAAAAAAAAAAAAAGTAATTTACAAAAAAAAAAAAAAAAAAATAGGTGCTGGTGTGAGAAATGGCAAATTGTGATAAATCCTCAAAAATCAGTGTTCATGTCTATAACTAGAACGAAAAATATGCTTGCCTATAATTATGACATAAATGGTGCCAAGCTTGTAAGAGTTTAAAATATAAATACCTAAGTGTAATATTTACTCCTGACTTAAAACGGAATACCCATATTAAGAACGTATATATGTGCACCAAAGCTAACAAAGCACTGTGGCGCCTCAGACGCAACCTTGCTAAAGCAACTCCTGAAATAAACATTAAAAAAAGGGCTTATAAGACATTGGTAAGGCCAGTCAGTGATTCACGACCGCACGCCGGTACGATGCTCATCCAGATCGAAACGGGCAGGGGTGGGGATGGAACCCAGAATCCCTGGGTTCTGCAGCGCGAGCTTTCACTTCACGTGTTCCGAGCTGGTGTGCGCTAGGCCACCAGCTCCAGCGACTTCGTCGCCACGCCCATTGGCCAGACTCTCCCGATGTAGGGCTCTGGCGAGGCCCAGACGCGCTCGGCTAGTCAATTTCGTTTCGTTGAGCGCTGGGTATATGTTCAGGCATCTGCAAGTCGGGCGTACTCAATTTATTTTGCCTAAAATAACATTTCATTTCATTTCATTTCATTTCATTTCATTTCATTCATTATTCCCTCAGGGCTCGAAGGCATTACAGAGTGGGGTGGGCGGTTACTCAAAATACATAAAAGTAACACACATGAGTAAAGCAAAAAAAAAAAAAAAAAAAAAAAAAACGCGCTACGCAACATTTGTTGAAAAGTTCGTAATAACATTTTTAATATCAACAGTGTTAGTTATTGAGACTATATGTGCTGGAAGGCGATTCCAGTCAATGGCGGTCTGGGGTAGAAAAGAGGAATTAAAAGTGGAGGTGCTGCAATGGGGAATCCCTGCCTTTAGGTCATAGTCTACACGTGATGATATGTATGATTGTTCTAAAAACAACTCTTGACGGAGAGCGGGGTTAGAGTAATAAATCTCGTGAATTAAATGCAGACAAGATTTTTTTTTTTACGGAAAGAGAGATCAGGCAACGAGAGGGACGATTTCATGTGTCGACGATGTTTTGTCTCAAATAAAATATATTCTTAAACATAAACGAGTTCTTCACAAATGGGTTTTTGGCACTTAAAGAAACACTGGGTTTAATATTGTCGATACAGTTTTAGGCTACAAGACGGGCACTATTGGTGGTCGCGTACCACCGTCGCACACACACTCTCGCTCCGAGTCCCGCTGTTAGACTGGCGCATAGTTCTCTTGCGCAGCTTGGTCTCGCCCATGGCTGTAACCCGATGCCGCATCCGGTCTAACACCAGCCAGTCGCGCCTTCATGCCGCGGGAATCCGCGTGCGAGACCTTGGCTCCGAGTAGTTAGAATAATCGCAATCTTCCGAGAACACAATCTTGCGCCCAGCGAAATAGAGGAAAAGGGCAAAACACAATGGCGCTTGCGTGGAATGCACTCGGCGAAATAAAATAAAAGGGCGAAAACGGAATGGCGCTCGCTTACACATGGAAGTTACACTGGCTGTGCGGTGATGTTTAACTCTTGCACACAAAGTCGGGTTACATTCACCCCCCCCCCCCCACACACACACACACTGCCGTTTAAGTTATGTACCGATAAACACAAATCTTTATCATAGAAAATAATTTGCGATTAACTAGGCTGCATTTTAGCAAATGACGGACGCGGATATTCATAAGAGCAAACAAAGCGTGGTTAGTACTGATCACACACGCACCGATAAAGATGTTGAACCTCCTCGTTCGAAACTGTGGCGCGAGTTCATTTACACGAACGGTCTTAATTCCCTTCATGGATTCAAAATCACGACACAAAAAAATAATAAAGCCAGCAGAAGAGGGGCGTGCAAATGAGACAACAACAAACGTTGTGGCTAGGAACCGAAAGTCGAAAGTAAATAATCCCCTCTCGAAAGACGGGAAAATAACGAAAGAATGAGCCACATTCAAAGATGAAAACAAAACAAAAACGACTTCAGTTAATTAGAAAACCGCCGCCGGATGTCAGAGATCGTCTGCCAGAACCATCCTGTTTGCCCCGATCCTACGAGAGTGTCAAATTTCAACAATTGAAACAATGCGGCTCAAAGAAAAGAAAAAAAGAGGCTAATTAATTTGACGAAGTCTCCACTTACTAACACGATAAAAGGAAAATACAAAAAAAAAAAGGAAAAAGAACAGCGAGGCTTTCGAAAACACACAGACACAGAAACCAACTCCACGGTCCAAACGAGAGGAGACAAAGAACGATGAAACAAAGTGCAACAACGGAGCAGACAAAAGCCGACCAGGGAAGCGCACGGGACACGAGAAGATTACGAGGCCTGAAAGCGAGAGTTCTTCTCTTCTCATCCTGTTCCGCGAGGTAGGCTTTTACACGCTACAATTATTGCTGAGAGCGTAGCATACTCGCTCCCCCCTCCCCTCCACTCACCCCTCCCCCTCCCCCTCCCAACGTTAATTGGCGATTCAGCCATCCAGCCCCTCTCCCCTCCCATCCATTTGCGCCCTGCCCTCGTGTCGTTTATTTAAAGCCCGCAGCCTCGGATTACGCTTTCAGAGCGTGAAATATGCGACCGACGAATAATCAACTTCGCCACAAGAGCAGGCTCGGATCCCTCTTTTTTTTCTCTTCTACTTCTAGTTTTCTGCTGCAGAGGACCCGCTTCGCGCGATCTACGGTCGCGGACGAAATGACGTGGAAGGCATAGGCACTCCAACGCTGACAACGGTCGTACAAGTGGGCAGCGCTACGAAGGACGCTCTTATTCAGCTACCCGACAGTGAAAGACATTTTCTTTTTTTTTTAAGGAGAAGTGGTACGGAGTTACATTGCTACCAAATGATTTACTTCGTTTCATTGTAAAGTTCGAAGCACATGTACGACGAAACCGTCCGATCCGACGTGCGGACTGCCGGAATGACCTTGGGGGGAGAGGGTTTTCGTAGCATCGGGAGAGCGTTGAAAACCCTCGCCTCCGACCGTCGTATTGCGTGGTCGGACGTCGGATCGGACGGTTTCGTCGTACATGTGTTTCGCGCTTAACAGAACATACACGAGCGCCCAAAGTTCGCGGCATCGTCTCAAAACTCTGCTGTTCCTATACGTAAGACACTGATAGTGCACCGGAACGAAATTCGAAGACCAATCATTGGTCTCCCCTAGGTCTTTCTCTAATAATTTCCAGTAATGAGAAGGAAGAATTAATGCTATGCTTCAATGATAAAGCAATTTCAATAGAAAAAAAAGATATTTACATTTCTTTTTGCCATGGAAAGCGCATGGTCATTGGAGCATGATTCCCCACTGCCTTTCTCATTTGGCTTAACCGATTCGAGGAAGAGCGATGTCTGGACCGGCTTCGGAAGGACAGCGTCTTAGCTAAGACTAGAAAGCAGTTCCAGTGCAGGAGCAGCAGCCGAGTGCCACTCGAACGCGGAGAGCAAGTCGTCTCTTTTCTGGTGCAGGAGTTGCGACGACGTTAGAACGACGCCGGGCTTCGATTGGCTTCTGGCTAAATTTCTCATCTACAGCTAAGAGACAAGTCACCTGTGGAGGAGTACTAGCATCAAGGCTGTCAAAACAAACAAGCAACGCTCTTTTTTTGCAGCGGAGCTGTTAAGGGTTAGCTTCTCGAATTTCATGTCCGGTACCAAAAAAATATGTCGACACAAAACTTTGGACAGATACCGCCATCTATGAGTGACGGCGGAAACTAGACAACCAGTCTGGGTGCCGCCGCCGCTCATAGATGGCGGCACATAGTACAGCTACGCTGTTCTTCCTTCTTCACCAAAATGGAGAGGCTGAAAGCTTTGCTTGTTTGTTTTTTACACTGGGAAGGGGAAAAAAAGGGGGGGGGGGCACAAGGTCGCGTCGCAGATTGCTCTTCTAACAAGGGGCGATTCACACACTTGCATCCAGACTGACCGACTGCAATGCAACATGTTGCGAAGCCTCTAACGACCGCGTCGCACAGAAGCAATGGGGGGTGTAAGCGGCTCCACACCCCGTTGCCACAGCAATCCGCTAAGCGGTGAAAGGCCCGTTCACACACTTGCAAACAAGTTGAACGGAGAGAAACAAGACCGGTTTTTATGCCTCAAGCGACGGCCTACAATCGGATGCGCTGCTCCGGAGCTGGTTGTAAGCCGTCACAAGAGACTTAAAAGAGCACTGACACCCCAAAAGTGTTTTTTTTTGTTTTGTCGTCTAAAACAATTTGTAGTCATAGACACGTCATAGACACGCAAAAAAAAAAAAAAAAACAATGCGAAAATTATTTTTCCACGCTCGCGCGCGCCATTCATCTTTGGCGCCCTTTTTCCCTTCTCACCACGTCGCTTTCTTTTTATTTCTGGCGAAATCGATTATCAAATTTAGAAGCTTTGTAAACGACATTTGTATAATATTTAGTAACGGCATTCGTAAAACACGCCTTTTAGTCAATACTTTTATAGACCCCACCCCCAATAGTCTGCGATGTGGCACTGCATGTCTCACCATGGTCAGTATCATCGCGCAGACATCAATTTTTGGTCTAGACATATTTTAAGCCTCGCCTTTCGCCAAGCTCCTTCAGTAGATCGATTGCAGTTTTTGACTTTCCAAAGTGGTTTGCACTAATTAAACGAAACGCTCCAGATTTCTTTGAGTGTTAGAGTTGCGAAGAGCTGCCGTGCCACGTGCAGCAAGTCACGGTGTCTGTTGCGCGTTGCAGGCACCAACGTCTTCAGCCGTGGCTCACGCCGCAGGGACGTCGGCGCCCTCCGGGCCGCCGGACAAGTCAAGGCAGGGACGGTTTTCCACAGGCAGCTTGGACTTTTCCGGTTGTCCGCCCTCACGAGGCGATGGCCACGGGATGGACAAGGTGGTGCGCCGATCCAACCGGTTCTCGTTGCGGCTCTTCAAGCGCGTCTCGTCCCTAGACTCGCGGTCCACGGTTTGCCTGTGCCCATTCGCCGTGTTCCACGCGCTGCTCATGACCTACGCGTCTGCCCAGGGCAACACCAAGCTCCAGATGGCCAAGGCCTTCAAGGTGAACAAGAAGTACGACCTGCATAGCGGGTTCCAGGCGCTGCTCCACGTCCTGCATCGGGAAAAGCCGGAGGTGGGTCCAGACGTCCAGACGTGCATCTAGCGACACCTACTAGTGTTTTACGCATAATTCCTGGTGTCATAAACAGGTCTCAAAAGGTGTAACGCGCGTGTAGAAACGGAAATTCAGAAAGTGTAACGGAAGTGTCACTGTAGTAAGTGGTAAGCTGAGCTAACTGGTAAACTTTGAACAAGATGAAAAATCGGACGCAAAGAGATAAGGACAAAAGAGAAAGAAGCACACAACACAGACAGTCGCATAGATACAACTTAAATATAATACGCGAGGAAATGAAAGGTGAAGCAAGATTCAATCATGACAGGGGTCACCGGCACCGTGGGGAATACTGCTCAGTCGCAGCAAAAAGCCACTTCTTTTTCACTCAAAGCCACCGACGGTAGACTAACGCAGCGATCGGTCACGCCCAAGATGGTAAACGGCTCGAGCACCTCGTGTGTGTGTTCTTCTTTGAACCGCCGAATGATTTCGTTTTTTTTTTGTTTTTTTTTTTTTTCTATAAAGATGGTAAATTAGTACAGCTTTTACAGTTTACTGAAAGATGACCTCCTACGGTTGGTGGTAAAGACAGATTATGCTCTATACACGAACTCATTTCTGTTACGTCACGGCGCGGTGGTGACGCGTCGGGCGCACTTCCGGTCTGGGGCTGTGGGCGGAAGTTCCCATGCCAGACGTGTATTCCTGCGTTGTTTTGAAAGGAACCTGACAAAACCTGCCTTCTCGTCAAAACGCCGAGACTGGGGCTGTACCAAAAGAGTCGAGAAAGGCTTGAAGGTCAGCTTTCATGTGCTCGGTTTGTCCGAGAACGTGGATATGTGCCGTGAAAAGGGAAAAGCAGACGCCGTCGGACAACGATTGCTTGTGGGGAAGCACTTTGGGTTGAATTCACGGATGGGTGTGGATCGACATGGCATGGGTGTGGATCGACGTGTGCTTGACGCAAGTCGCAGAAAATGCACATTTTTGGTGAGACCATCGCGTGTAAATTTGGCGGGAATCTAGCGGGGCCATTTTTTCCCCTAACTTTAGCGGGGAATTTTTTCCACTAGATTTAGCGGCGAAATTTTTTCCTCTAATTAGGCGGGAAATTATTTCCGCTAAATCTAGCGGGGAAATTTTTGCGCTAGATTTAGCGGGAAAATTGTCTGCTAAATTTAGCGGGGAATTTAGCGTCATCGTCATTGTCATCATCACTGACGTTATCAGTGACGTCACCTGTGACGTCATCAGTGACGATGACGTCATCCTCATCGTCATCGCGTGGTTACGCCGACGGCGACGGCGACGCCGCTCACGCCGGAAACGGGCGCCTAAGAGCTCACTCTAAAACGAGCAGCGTTCCCCTGGCTGCGAGTTAGGGGGGGGGGGGGGGGAGGAGGCCTAACTCGCAGCCAGAACAAGCGGCCACGTGATCTGGAGCCAATTATAGACCATTCCATTTAGCGCTCTCTGGGCGGCACCATTTTGTTCGACAGCAGCGCCCCCTCTATACATCCGGGAAATTCAGCGGGTTCGGCGGGGTAAAACGAGAGAGAGGGCACGCGCCCGACTCCGCTAGCAGACGACAAAACGGGAGGTTGCCATTCTCCATCTTTGGGTTGTATCGGCGGGCTGGCAAAGAACAGGACACACGCTCAGTTCCAGACATTGTCGTGGTTCGGCCATTGTCGTCATTGCCGCGATTGGACACGTGCCACTAACCGAATACTTGTCGATCTATCGATTATCACGAGTCCAAATCGAGTGCTCACGCAGTGCTCCGGTCCAATCTATAAGCCGCATTCGAATATCATCACGGGGGCATGCTGCCACCTCCAGCTGCGTCATCAAATTTTCCGAAGAGAGATTGAAAGAAAACGCTCGCTTTTGTCCTTGATATTACACCGCAACAAAGCAGCTTTTTGGTCATTGGTGCTGCATGCGAGTATACTGGGGTACCCCCTAGTGCCACTAAACTCGTGTAAAGTGAAAAACATCCCAAACGAGTATCGTTGCACGACCCCTTTAAGAGACCCAGGTCAAAAACTCTGGACTCTGTTCAGACCGGTTTTTAATCATCGAGCTTGAAACGATCTGTCTCGTGCCTCTCAATCGCGTGGAGTCCCAACGCGGTTTTACTGTCAGGCCAGCTGCCAGCATCCGAGGTTAGTATGCACTCGGGAACTTGGAGTGTAGCTGTACGTGTTCTGCTGTGGAACGCTTTTTTGGTACTTGACACGCAGGTGCGGCAAGAGCTGGCCTGCCACGTGTTCGTGGAGCGCAGCTTCCCGTTGGCACCGGCCTTAAGGTCGGTGCTGACCGACAAGCACCTGGCCGAGGTGCACCTAGTCGAGATGAGCAACGCGCCCGAGCAAGTGCGCAGCATCGTCAACAGCACCGTCGAGAGGACGACGGTCGGCAACATCTGCCAGCTCCTGGTCTCCGGCGTCGCCGACCAGGACTCCAAGATTCTCTTCTTCAACTCGCTCACGTACAAGGCGAGCGCGGATGACCAGGGGGGCTATGTTGCACGTTTTGGACTCCCAGGAGACTAGGGAGAAGGAAGTGACGTCAACAACGCTCTTTTTATGTTGATTGGTGGAGTCGCTGACGACGGTATCTGCAGAAGTTGCTAAGATACATTCATTCACACCTACGTCACTTCCTTCTTCCTAGTCTCCTGGGAGTCCAAAACGTGCAACATAGCCCCCCTGTGCGTCGTCTTTATGACGTCACGTCTGAGCAGTGTCGGCAACAGTGATGCGTTACGAGGAACGGAAGTGGACAAACCGAACCCGGAAGCTGAGATTTAAATACATTCAACGAGATGGGGCCGATCAGAGCAGGAAACAGAGAGGACATTGTGGGAAGAGAGAATGCAGGGGAAATCGGCTTTAACAATATACAGGGTACAAAAACGAGAAATAAAGAAGGAACAGCTGTATTGTAATTTAGTGGGGAGCTCATTGCTGTTTGAAGCTAGAACGGGGGTGCTAAGAACGAAAACATTTAGGGCTAAATTCTAGGAAATAGACACTTGCGACGTATGCAACCGCAAAAGGGAAACTACAGAACATGTAATTTTACGGTGCACGGGGCTTTGTCCCATCCTCTTGAAGGGGGGAGGGGGGGGGGGGGGGGGATGACTACAGATTTGGAGGGGGCACTGGGAGGATTTGCAGATATGGATGGACGAATGGATAGGGAAAGAGTTGCGGTAACTAAAAGGAGATTGGAAGATTGGTGGAAAAGATCTAATAGAGAGGGGTAAAAATACAGATAAAAATAAGCAATGGAGACGCTTTAAAAAAAGGGGGGGGGGGAGGCTTGGTGTTAGAACATATTTTATACAAATTTAAAAATAGAAGGGATGACGAAATGTTAGGCTAGGTGGCGCAAGCTACCGACCGTTACAAAGGCTATAGCCATTACCATCCATCCATCCGGCGTTACCTGTAACTTTTTTGTCTCTTGCCCAGTACCGTACCCGTTACTCTTTCAAGACGTTAACGAATAACCTACTTACGAGTACGTTATAGTTATTTTGAGTATTCAAAAGTTTGCCAAATGTTGAAGATATATGTTTTGGCGATTTACGCCAAAACAGCTAAACTTTTTAATTCATAAATAAAGAAAGTAAAGCAGAAGGACGGTTACACTTACCGATAACGAGAACGTGTCCTTTTATTGTCAGGGAACGTAGGTCGGTAACGCGTTCCTTTTATTTGCGAGTAACGAGTGACGTATTTCGTTCCATTTTTTTTGTAACGCCTAAAACACTGTGTCTAAGTGGTGACGGAACTTGAAAACGGGCATGACCTTAAAAAAATGGGCTTTTGCGCATGTACAGCGCGAGCAGCTCCGGTGGGTGAGCGCGCTTTCCTAAACAGTGAATTAACGGACAGCTTAGTAAGAACGAGGTACAGACGTCTGTTATGACAGCCTTCTTCGTAGTCGGCTGCTGATTGTTCTATACGGGGTGAAAGCGAAGCAATCTGAGACTGCCGCGGACCCCCCCCCCCCCCCCCCCCCCCCCCCCCGCTTCCCCGCCACTTGATTCCTTTGAATCAGGCGGTGGCTCGCGCCACCTGGCCACAAACTCGCAGTTTGGTCAGCTTCCCCGACGACGTGTCAGGCCACACCATTGGTACATAACCAGCTTCTTTCAAAACTTCTTGTCCTTTTCTTCTTATGTTTAATAAAGATTGACGCGATCGTGCCTCAGAACTCGACAGTAATGCGGGCTTGTATGGGACCATAGGCGAACTGGGAGAAGCCGTTCCCCAGCCGCAAGGCCGTCACCGAGAAGCATCCTTTCAAGCTGATGGGCGGCGCCGACAGCACGGCAGAACTGGTGTGCATCTCGGGCTTCTACCGGCACCACCGGGACGCGGACATGAATCTGCTCGTCGTCGAGGTGCCCTTCAAGTCCGGCCAGTTGAGCATGGTCCTCTTCCTGGGTGACAACCCCTGCAGCCTCAAGCGCTTCCACAAGCACCTGACCGTCGAGCTCTACGAGAAGCTCATCGGCCAGCTGAGTTACGACGAGAACATCACGGTACGACATGAACATGCGATTACACCAGGTGTGGGCACTACGAGTGAGATTTCTACGCATGCGCGGTAGCGACAGCACCACAGTGGCCTGACATCAGGGATTTGTGTTGGTTTGTACGCAACGCGTGCCCCACACTTGCAGGTGATTCTTGCATGCGCCCTACCTTGATCCACGTAAACACCAATCCTTACATGAGTCAGAGTGGCCAATAGTGAAAAGGGAGACTGCATGACCTCCCAGGTCATGCAGTCGTCAGTGGCAAAGAAGGCTTCCATTCTTTTTGGTAGCTCGTTGAGCTCGTTCATTTATACGAGTACGAGTTGTTCTGTGTTCACCGAGGTGTTTGGATGAAGGTCTTAATCGCTGACCTCTATTATAAGGCGCATAGCCGCTCTCCGAGCAGGGCGCAAGTGAAGCCGCCGGAAGTTTGATGATTGTCCCGGAAGTCGGGCGTCTGCTGGGCGTCCTAGTGCATTCAGTGGATGCTTCCGTCCGTACTTTCCAATGTCTTTGTGTGGGTTTTAATGAGCTTGCTCCGAATTAAATCCCGAAAATAAGGCATTTGAACTTGGGACATATGCACACTTGAATAACTAGAATCTCAAAATGTTTACATTGGATGGCTTCCCATGATACTTCTCGGGTCTGGATGCGCTCTTACTACGTAACCAGCACGCTCTTTTGAGGTGACAAGCGAAAATCTAGCGCCCTCTACGCTTTTCGAACCAGCACTCTGAACGGTTACAAAGCCTGCCAAGCGCTCACTTCCGGGACAAGCCGCTTACTTCCGGTGACTTCAGTCCCTCGCGCTCGACGCGTCATCCAGCCCTTTATATATCAGTGATCTCAATTCAACCGACCAGTTTGCAGCAAACTGTCGCAAGTACGCGCCTTCTGAGAGATATGAAGCGCTGTTCGGGTGCTTGGGTACGTAGCGGGACTGGCCTAAGCCTATAGCGTCCCACGTCAACTAAATATGTTCATGATCTAGCTTTATTTGTTCCTTTGCGCTGTTGGTGCTGTATAAAGATGTTTGTTCACGTTAAAGCGGCCCCGCTGCTCTGTGAATTGTGCAACCGCTGTGATTGCAAGCATGGTTTAATATCAAGAAGATACGCGAATAAGAATTTGCGAGCCATTTGGCTGGGAGGCGATCGGGCGTTCCGTTCGCTATGTTTCCGTCATTTCGCTTCGAAAAGCAAGTTGCTATCAAATTTTGCGGTGCACCTGACCCATCAAAAGCGAATATTTTTACGTCGCGTTTTAATTATGCATCATGACGCTCGTCTACCTTGCTTGCGGATGCCGTGTAAAAAACAAAAAAATAACAAAAATAACAAGGACTGTAAAGCCGAAAAGACTGCTTATTTATTTTATTAATTTTTTTTAGTCCTCGGTCGCTTATTACCGGACATCGATAGACACTGACAGATGCTGGTATTGGAGCTTGGCTTGTGCGGCATAATGGAACGCTAAAACGTCGCATTTGTGGTCGCGTCTTCTGAGCTTTGCAGACGTTTTTAGATGGGGGCGGGATAGCAGACGGACGGAGGCGAAAATGGACGCAGACGTGCAGCTTTCGTCTTCGCGTCTCACGGGCATTGCAGACGACGATCGACGGTGGCGAATTCGCAGACGATGCCGGAGGCTGCCTCGTGTGCAACGGTGTCAGACGCCAGACTATATATAGACGCACCGGACGTCGCGAAAGGGAGACACTGCGCTTGTTAGCGTATTCAGCCTAGGGTGCCTTCATGTGCGTAATTCAGCCGAGTGGCCAAGCCAAGCCTGTAGTAAAGGGCGGGGCCATTGATCTACGGGTGCTGCCTAAAGCGTGCCGTGACCTTCACCTAAATTGCGCCTGGCGGCGTAAATATTGCGCGAAATCTTTTTTTATTTTGTGAAAGAAATAAAAAAGATATGTCCCATTTTTTCCACTTAAAATTTTTTCTTCGTTTTAGTGTCTTTTAAGGCCCGTTAACACGCTTACGACACCTTAGAACGAGGTGCCTTAAAGTTTCTTCCAATGAAAGAACACACTGGCGCGCTGACGCCATTTTTGCGTTGACCCTGGGACCGGCCAAGTGTTCCACCCGATAGATGGCGCCTGTGTGTTTTCTCGGCATTAGAGATTTTAAGAGGTTTCAAAACGCTCGGTTCTAAGAAGTTGCAAGTGTACGAACGGGTCTTTACCCATGCTGCAGTACTCATTCAAGCCTTCTGTCGCTTTATGTATTTTCCTTGCATGGCCACTTCCCTAAATTCTCCGCCAGCTATAGCTCCCCATGCTGATTTAGGCAGTCAGTCATTATTAAACTGCCATTGTGCACGTTTCTAATGCTTGGACGTCGCCGCTGAGCTAGAGAGTTGGGCCCCAATAAACGATGTCAATAGAGACCGGCTGGAAACTAACTTCGCTTGGGCTGTTTAACCTACACCCTGTTCGCATGCTACTTCGGGACACACTGCGAACACGATTTATTCTTTGCTACCGCATTTCAGGCAATTAAAAGTGCAATCGACATTGTTCTTTAATGGTCATGTGGTTTCAGTGGCACAAAGGGTGGACTCCTTTTTTTCCCCTGTGAACACCCTATATAGTAGACCGTGTTACAGCACGTTCTTCCTAACAGCTTATTAAATAAGCTAACAAGCTGACTAAATAAGTACAAATAATTGGTGTACTGATTGCTTCGTGGGGCAGTATATACGTAGGCAGGCTTGTACAAGATACTCAGAAAACGTATTTACGTTACTGAGTACTAGATTGAAAAGTAACTGAGTAGAGTGTTAAATAGCGAATACTAGAAAAAACTAACTCGTTACCTTCAAGATACTCTTAAGTTACAATTCATTCTGCAATATATTATTAAACAAATACGAAATAAAACGATGAAAAAAACGAAGCAAACGCAATTACCGAAACCCTTCATAAGCTCGCAGAAGCATCCAATATTATTATTATTATTATTTTAAATTTGCGTTGGACAACTTCCGTCTGCTTCTTTTAAACATATGTCCGCCGACGCTAACTTTGGCTGAAAAGTGGCACTCTGGCTGCAGTCGGTCAGCTACGCCTCTTGGCAGTGACTATAAATAAAGCGGTCTACAAAAATGTTTTCTTCGCGAGTGGGGATTATTTTTGGCTCCGAGTCGATACAAACAAGCCTTGTTCCCCCTCCGCACAACCAGTACAAAGGAAGAAAGGGCAGCCCATCGATTTCTATATTATTTCCTCCCGAAAAAAAAAAGAAAAAAAAAAGGCTACAAGCTTGCGAGTAACTTACGAAGTTAGTAAAAGTTACAAGTTAGATGACTAAATACTAAGAAGTATTAACAAAAGTATTAAGATACGGTAACTCGAGTAGAATATTTAAGCTACGTAAATGTCCGCACGTAAGGAACTTGTGCGTGCGATATCGAACATTTTCGGCAGGTTATTCGTCCCTGGTGCAGGTGAACGTGCCCATGCTGAAGCTGGAGGAGACGGTGCAGCCCTCCTACACGCTCCAGCACATGGGTTTCGTGGACCTGTTCGACGAGCACGCGGACTTGGGGGGCACCGGCAAGGGCCTTTTCGTCTCGGACATCATGCAGAAGGTGACGCTGACCATAGATACCACGGGGATGTCTGCTTCGGCCGCAGTCTCGGTGGCGCTCACGGACTACTACACCGAGGAACTGCCCAAGGCGTACCGGGACGTGCCCAGCACAAGGCCCTTCATCTACGTCATCAAGAACCAGGAGACGGGAGTCATCCTCTTCATGGGTGCGGTCCAGGACCTGTGACCAGGAGCCGCGCTCTCATGAAGTCCGAGACATTTTGACCAGCCATGCCAAGTGTTTTTTTTTTTTTTTAATTAGTTATGAAGAGTTTCTTTGACTTGACAGCATTGGAGCGTTTTTGCAAACAAGCAACGGGGTTGGTCGAAACAGCACGTCTGTAGTTCTGGGACAGGTGGCCTTTTTTGCTGATGCCGACCCGTCCATAACGAATACCACGCCCGACTGTTTTATGCACGAATTGCTCTGGTAATTATGATGGTGGAAAGGGGGAGAGAGGGGGGGGAGGCCTAGAACATGCATTATTATTAAAATGCAAAGTCCAGCCTTTGGTGGGAGACCAGGTGACGGCGCCCTCCGTTGCGGGACCTCTGAAGCGTGCCCTGTAACACGTGGTACGCCTACTCTCATTTTTATACTTGCAATATACCTTACGGCGTTCTGACAACGCTGTGACGTGCATAGATTGTTGTACGAATATCAATTCACACTTCCGGACGTTTCTGCGCGTCTACTTCACCACGATGCGCACTGATCTTTGAGCACCAATCACTGATCTTCATTGATTTAGTTCAGCCAGTGAGAGGGTAATCTGTATCATCAGTGATAGAACAGTCTCGTTAGCAGTAAAGACGTCAGCTCTTGCTTCGTGACTGCATTCTCATTGGAGAATGATGCCGATTGTCCTTCTTATTGCATGCCTGTACTTATACAAGTAAACTAGTATACGCTCATGTATGCACTTTTCAAAGTGTACCGAATTTCATGCCCGATTGTTAGTCTCTCTCGGAGCCATCCTGATTTTTAGATACTGTCACGTGCTTATATACGTCGTCTGTCTGGTGAGGTACCGTTGAATATATGCACTACTCGAGCCACCGCTCGATGAACGTGTTTAAGCCTTCCTGGAAACACTATCCGCTACCTGAATGACATATTGCATTGAGGGTTCATGGTGGGCATCGCACGTTCGAAGGTAATGACCAACTTTCCAAGGGTCGTGGGTCGAGTACAAATACCAAACAGTGAATCGTTTACGACGTTTACCTTGCTTGGTTTTATGTAATTCAGTGGTTTATCCAGGATTTACTATCAGGGTAAGAGGGGCGGGGCTGTTGCAGATTTATGGGAAGGATCAAAGTAAAATACAAACTTTTACTTACATCATGGTAATCTACCTATCGTCACAGACATCCTTCCTTGTCATATTTGTCATCTCACTCTCTCTCTCTCTTTAAATTCCTGTTCCTCTACCCCCAGTATGGAGTAGCCCGCTAGGACAACTGGTCCAGACAAACTATTCCATCTTTCCACCATCTCTATCACACACGCACTCTCTCTCTCTGGGGGGGGGGGGGGGGGGGGGGGGGGGAGGAGGGGGGAGGGGGGGATGAGTTGACATCACTGGAAGCTGTCACCAATATCCTGGATCTTGGTTTTCGAACCCTGCTCGTGAACGCTCGCGCGTTCCTCTTCGTTTCGCGCGCCCACCCTCCGCGCATGCGGCCACACAGAAGCCGACCGACCAGTACTGCTTATCGCCCACGATGGGACAGAAATGAGAGCTGGCCCCCCTTCCGGGGATCCCCATGCCAGTTTTCTCCTTCACTGCGCACCCTGCCAGGCATCGGTAAATCGTGCGGTGCCGGCGGGCTCTGGCGACGCCATTTCGTATGCGTCGCACGTAGCGTTCCGCGCGCCAACTTTACACTCAAAAAAAAAAAGAAAAAAAAAAAAAAAGAAAGAGCCAATTATGTCAGTTTTTGGAGCGAGCTCGGCGGACGGCGACGCCATAACAAGAAGAGATAAAAGGTATCTCAGTCGGATAAAGTCGGGAGACTCAGAAAGCGCAGCGTGCTTTGGGCAATGCGTTTATTCATGAGCTTGAGACGCGTTAAAAAGCGCTACATTTGATGGCCATTACGTCCCGCCAAATGCGGCAAGAAGCTTTTTCCCGCTAAATTTAGCGGGAGTGGTGGTTCGAGTCTGTTTCTGGTGGAGTCGCCAAATGAACACCAGCCGCGGCATGGAATCGATGAGTTAGGATGGCGTCTGGGCTTGGGAAAGAGAAAGTCGTTGGAGCGGACCAGGGAAGAGGGAGCACTCGATTGCTGGGTCTGGGGTTCTAACCTGGACACTTGGCGAAAAATGTCGGCGAGGAATTCGACCGACGTGATTGGCCGGCGCCAAAATCCAGCGCGGCGCTGGCCAATCAGGGCCGCCAAATTCCTCGCCGACTTTTTCGACGAAGTGACCAGGTCATTAGAGCCCCTGTTCGCATAAAGGTGGTTTACAGCGAATCTGTTAAGGGCTAGTTTCCCCAGTATCGTGTCCGTGGGCAAACAAATGTCGACACAAAACTCTGGACAGCTACCGCCATCTATTAGCGACGGCGGCAACTAGACAGCATTATTGCCGGTTGTCTGGTTGCTGCCGTCGCTCATAGATGGCGGCAACCTTTCCAGCCTTTCCACTCTGGCTTGCTGACTTGCGGCCGGCCATTACTTCATTCCCACCATAGTACAGCTTCGCTGGTCTTCCTTCTTCCCCCAAGTGGAAAGGCTGAATTTTTTTTTTTTTTTTATGTGTCCAGCATGTCTTGTGATTGTTGCGGGTGAGCGCTATGCACCGATCCCCAAAGACGTCTTCGCCACAGGTGCGCCTCGGTAGCGGAAAATTTCCGCATTGCGGAGGTACACTGGCTGCCGGTACTGGTGGTGCATTTTTCGCTTGTGTCTTCACTGGCGGCCATAGCTGTGTGCGCGACTGCTGAGCGCGTGCTGAGGGCAAGCTTCCGCAGTTCTTTTGCAACGTGCATTCGGCACCATCAAGGTTACCGGTCTCAGCAATTAATGTGAGCTCGTTCCGAACACGCACTCTTATCATTGCCCTCAAATATGGCTCCGTAGCGCCGTCTTTCCTGAACGGCATGTTGATCCCGCTCGTCACATGACTGAATTCGGCGAATAGCGGCGCCGCGCGTTCGAGGCGCGCCGCGCTCAAAAGCAGGGGAACGTACGTCGGGGCGCGTGCAACGTCTACTTTCCTGCACGGCACTTGATCCGGCTCTTCACGTGATGGGATCTCGGCGAATAGAGGCGTGGCGGCACGTGGAAAACAGACGCGCAACTCTGGCTCCCGTAGGGAGCCTATTGGCGACGTGAGCGATCGAAAGCGTCGCTGTGGTCGGCCCACCACAATTGGCCGAATGCTGACTATGACGTCAGCAAAAGATATCTCATCGACGGAAATAAGAGGAATGTAAGAACTTCAATTTTGACGGTGTTGGCAGTGTTGCTTTAAGAGCCCTATGATTTCAGGCTTCCACCATGCCCCTTACAAACACCATCGAACTTGTTGTTCACAAGGTAATGACGTCGCGAAAGGTAGCCGAACGAGGGCGCCACCGAAACATCTCGCTGCTAATATAGGAACTCTAGGGGAACCTGGACGTCAGCGCACAGCTTTTGCAGCGGCGAGGACCCGAAACACACTTGTTCGCTCGGGAGAACTGTGTTTCGGCGTATGGCTGCAGCAAGGCGCCAGTCACGTAGCTTTCCTCTCGTCCTTTGTCTGCCGCTCCACCTTTACCATTTCGGGAGCCGCTTCTCGTGGCGATTTGCCAGGCCCTTAGAGCCTCTGAGACTCCAAAGGTCTATTCACGCGCTGCATCTAGTTGGCGAATCTAGTGTCGCGAAACTATAGGTTTCGGGTAAGCTATCCCGAGTGAGAGGGATCCTAAATTACCTCCGTCCTTTGGTGCCCACGAATGTGATTGTTGTCATGTGGTTTCTGGGTCGCGTTTCCAGTACGAGCTGCGAGGAGGTGACGAAAGCGTTCATCAAATACTTTACTAGGGGGAATACATTCCACTCTCAAATACAACAGCCTCGGCGCGGACAGGTTTTCTCGGGTTGGCGAGAGCCATCTATCGTCGGGGAGGTCTCGGCTAACGATGATATTTATGTTCTACATACCAAATTCATTGTTGTGGAAATGCGCGAGACACGTGCCGCGCGCCACTTCTAAGAATAACACGGCGTCTAAACTCTTGCTCAGTGGCGCGCTAAATACTTTGCTGCGCTGTCCCGCCGTGATCTTCCCAAGGACTGCACGTTCCACGTGCCTCGTGCATCGACGAACCTTGCGCTACTTTTGAAACATGAAGGGGATTTAGCTTGCATAACTATGGCCGCCAGTGAATGCCACCTCAGTTCTTTTGCAACGTGCATTCCACACCATCAAAATCGCCGGTCTTAGCGGGCTATTAATGTAAGCTCGTTTTGAGCATGCGCCCTAAACATCGCCCTTAAATATGGCGTCCAGTGAATGCCGACGTGCGCGATCGAAAGCGTCGCTGTGGTCGGCTTTCCACGATTGGCCGAATGCTGACTATGACCTCAGCAAAGGATTTCTCATCGACGAAAATAAGACGAATGCATGGAAGAACTTCAATTTCGACGGTGTTGGTACTGTTGCTTTAAAAGCACAATGATTTCAAGCTTCCACCATGCTCCTTACAAACACCATCGAACTTGTCGTTCGCAAGGTATTGACGTCACGAAAGGTAACCATATGAGGGCGCCACTAAAACATCTCGCCGCTAATACATACACCATAAAACGAAAAGGAAAAAAATATATACAGCTGTAAAAGGCAAGAATTTAGCCGCCAGGTGCTTACGCAGGCTGTGCTTTCATTGAGTGTGCTCGGAAAACGTTCTCTTTTCCCTGAAGTCGCAGTCGGACAGGAGGACGAGGAAGAAGACTGGGAGCGGTTCGGACGTCCATGGCCGCGCCCCCGGCCTCGGAGCCGGACCGCTTCAACGCGCTGGCCGCCAGCGTGTTCCTGGCCGCCAGGAACGGGGCGTCGGACGCCGGGAAGAACCTGGTCTGCTCCCCGCTCGGAGTGGTCAGCGCCCTGGCGGCCGCCCAGGCGGCCTCAGGCGAGGCCTCCGGTGCGTCCAGCGTGGCCCAGCTGGATTCGAACCTCCGGGTGCTGCTCGCCTGCGACTCGCTCAGGATGGGCAACCTGATGCACGTCGACCAGGCCACCACGCTTCGCGAGGACTACCAAACTCTCTTCGAGAGCGAGTTCGCTGGCAAGGTACATGGCGCTTGCACGTGAAATCATCGTATCATGCTTGCCGAGAAAAACGAATATGGTGGTGCGAAACGTGGGCTGCGGAAGGTGCGTCAGCAGCAAGGCCCCCGCAATGGCAGCTGATGTTACGTCAGTGCAGGCCATGTACAGGATTTGGATTCGTTGTTCACAGCGCGTGCTCAGAACCCACTCAGATTTATAAGTTGCAAAGACCGGCAGTATTGATGCTGTGAAATGCACGTTGCAAAATTACCACGGATTCTCGCCGTAAGCTTGCCCTCGACACCCACGTACGTCAGCTATGGTGACCAGTGAATACCTCTTCGAGGCTTCGAGGTTTCAAAGGTACGGCTGGCCAAATCATCTCCGATAGATCATTTTCGAACTTGCACTCTGTTGAGCTGAGAAGGAACAGAAAACGGAATCGAACAGACAAGTCCACTTGTGGAGTGTTCACCTCCACACAAACAGTATCTGGATATAGAAGTTTATGTTTTTTTTTGTTGTTGTTTGTAGGTGCTCCATATTGTCGTGCTTTGAGAGCTTTTAAAGGAGTCATGAAACGCTTTTCCAACTTTTTCTGTTTAGCTTTCCTCCTCAACTCCTAAATCGCGCATTGTACCAAACAGTTCAAGAATCGAAAATGGGGGAGTCCTTTCTTGCTCGGAATCTCGCTTGTGTAGCCGGACACAGCCATTGTCCCCCTAGAAGATTAGCCCGTCGCTCAAAATTCCGACTAGTTGCTCTCCCCACCCCGTTCATCCCGAAGCTGACAGTGCTGTGGAAGCTACGTGCTCGTTGGGCCAGCCACAGCGTGATCACGTGGAAAATGCATTTTCCACGTGATCACGCTCTCTCGCGCATACCGACCCGCAGAGAATAAGGTCAGGTGATGAAAGGGAGGCGGCTGATTGGTCCGGCAAGCGCGTAGGTTCCATCGCAATGTCAGCTTAGGGGTAAAAGGATTAAGTGAGGTCCGGTGTCGTGTGACGTGCGCTTGGGCCTGGTGACGCGCTGCGGGGGCCCGGTTATGGTGGCTAGTAGCCCGGTGACGCGCTGCGGGGTCTGCGGATGTATCACAGTGAAAAGGCGGAGAGATTACGAAGGGAAGGAGGTACGAAATAGTCCGCTATGTTTTGCAAATTTTCGTTGCGAAAGTCAGGCTCTGACTTTTCTACCTTTGTTCTTTTGGCCCACTGAACGATGTGCTATTAGTAAAATCCCAATATAAATTGATTTACTCCAGCCCAAAATTCGTTTCATGGGTCCTTTAAGTAAAGCGCATGGTTTTATGAGGGCTCTCCCAACGACCTACGCTAAGTGTAGGGGAGTAACTCAAGACCCGGTCAGGGTGCCCCTAGCGGCAAACAGATCACTTTCATCGGTTGGCCCCTTTTCGCCGCTGCACTCAGATTACGTTTGCTCAAGCTATGGTGCCTGGATCGCGTCTTCGACTGGTGTGTTTAGCGTCCTATCCCGCCCATACATCAAAAGAGGTCCCAATGTGGCAACAAATGACGTCACAGAAGCCGGAGTGTCATGCTGTTGCCTGTCGCGATCCTGGCGATTGGTCGTAGAAATGCAGGCGAAAAGCATGAGCGAACGCGAGTGTCGCTGTCGTCACAGTGTCCCAGGCGTCCCAACTTCTAGCTGCTGCAGCTTCCGTGGAGTGTCACAGTGGAGAGCGACCTGCAGCAGAACAGGCGTCTGCCACATACACCGCAACTGTTAGGACGCCGCCAGGATCGCAACCGGCGACATGACACTTGTATGACGTCATCAGGCGGAAATCGAGGGACCATTTGGCCGCGGTAAACACACCAGTCGGAGACGCGTTCCAGGCACCATACTCAAGCTTCTGATCGCGATTTTGGAGACGCCTGTGCCGACTCCCAAAAGCCCGAACAATTGCTGAGCGGTCGGGTGCCGCAGCACGTACAGAAACTTGCTCGGGACGAACTTTTTTGGGTTCCCGGGGAACTCTTACGAGGCAGAGCGCCGAGCGACGCGGGTGACACTTGTACGCCGAAGCAAGTGAGTGGCGTTTCTCCACTTGCAGTTAGCACTAAGATTTATACAGCAGTCAATTAATACATTGGCTTTCTTTAGCGACGATGGAACGTCCTGGACGCCCACAAGGAATTCAAAGTTCTGCAGCAAGTATATTGTGGGCAATGAGCAGCGAAAGGAGCAGACTCACCCGAGCTACAATCCGTTCATTTTCCCATAGGTAAACAAACAGAGAGCGGGACTGCGAATCGCTGAACGGCACGAGAGGTTAGTTCTTGCTTTTCTAAATGCACATAGTGTTGTAACCGATTCTTAACTAGTTTGTCAATATCAGTAAAGCAGTATGTTGAAGCACACTGGTGATCAAGTAAAGTAGAAGTGTGATAACCGCCGACTGATAACTTCTCTCTTCAGGCACCTTAGAAGAGACACACAAGCGGTTGCCACGCCAAAAAAAGTGCATCCCAAGCTCACATAACCATGGACGAGGAGCATGCATTTTTTTCAATTCGAAGCTTTTGCAATGGAGCGCTAAAGATCATCACTGTATATTATGCTGAATAAACTATTTAAACAACATTGTTCTGCAACCGTCCTTGCTGAACATTACGCAAAGACCTGCGGTGCTTATACAGTATGAGGATAGTTTGCCTGTTAACGAATTATGACTATAACTATTCAAGCAAATGATCGAGGTCTTGACATCTGGGCTTTTGGAGTTAAAGAATCACTGAGTTCAATGTCGTCAGAACAAATTTAGGTTATACTATTGAGACTATGGTGGCCGCGTACCACCATGCACCGCACAACGTTCTCGCACTGAGTCCCGCAGGTAGATTGGCGCATAGTACTCTTGCGCAGTTTGTTCTCGCCTGGCTGTAACCCGATGGCGCATCCGCTCTGACGCCAGCCAGTCGCGTCCTAATGGCGCGGGTATCCATGTGTGAGACCCTTGATGCCGAGGAGTCAGTATAAACACAAGCTTCCGAAAATACAGCCTTCGTGCCCTCCGAGCTTCCTAGGCGACTTCAGAATTGCGCCCGGCGAAATAAAATAGAAGAGCCAAAACAGAATGGCGCTGGCTTGGATTGCGCCCGGCGAAATAAAATAAAAGGGCCAAAACAGAATGGCGCTTCTTACACGCCCTTTAGCAATGGTGGTATTGATGTATTATGTGTAGATATACAGACTCGGCCAATGAACAGCTGCTGACTTGGGATTAACATGCATCACACCATAGCGACGACAGAGCACACCAGTATGATGCTCATCCAGATTGAAATGGGCATCCTATGTTTCACAGAGCGAAGTTTCTTCACTCCACGACTCTCAAGCAGCAGCACGCTAACACTTGGTTACGGACCTGTCCTGAATACTAAGCATCTGTTTAAACAAACCATGAAAGCAACAGAAGCTACTAGGAATAACTTTGAAAATAACTGCTTGGAAGCATCAGAATGGCACCGTACATTTAACTAAGATGCTAAGCTTCCCCGGTTCCCGGAGGAGCTAAATCTAGTAAAACGTCGGCTGTCATTCTGAAATTTTCCAGGAAGTTCCAGCTTATGTACTGAAAGAGTCCATCAGCATCCAAGCCAGGGGTCCTCGGGCATCACCACGAGCTCAGAATTGTACACCTTGAGGCCGTATTTCAGTTCAAACTTGGCTCGGGCTTCAGGCTCGCGACACTGCCCATATGTTGTCGCTTTAGACCAAAATGGTGCTTCCAGCACCATCGCTTTGGCAAGATCCTGTAGGTCTTGTTGGTTACCTGAACTGCGTATTATTTTGTGTTCCTCCAGGGTAAACAGAAAAAAAAAAAAAACGTAAAACATCCGCAGCAAAACTATTCGGTGATTCTGGGGCCTAAGTCACTCTTGCAAGCTTCTAGCGGGTGTTTTCAATCCACTCTTGGCACAAACATGAATCCAACCATATCAATTGTACCTGAAATTATTGGCACCGTGTTTCACTACATTTGTAGGAACGAGTGGCACAATTCTTGTAAAATAAATGCATACCTTCGTTGCTGTTATGCGAGGCTTCCCCTCTTTTCTCCAGATGTCGCTCGACAGGCGAGTGTCTCTACATATCTCGTAGACTTTGTCTAATGAAGCAAAGGCGCTCCCATTATAAGCATCCCTTTCGGTACGCCTCAGGCTGCAAGGCAATAATTCGCACATATTAGAAGGTTGACACTCAATTGTGCATCCCAGCTTACCTATCTAAAAAGTATTTCTCTTTCTGTATGAAAGAGTTCCACGTCGTCAGGAGGACAACTCTTCGGCCCGCAGCATGTCGTCCAGGGGGCAATTTATGTCGGCTAAATACTTCCTAACGTAGCTCAGGTTCATCCTCGGCACACAAACTGACGCGCCTGCAAGTGTATTTTGGTTAGGCCACTTACATGAACTCGATTAGGGGCGTATCGACAAAAGTGTGTTCACAGAAATCCATTCCAAAATACGGTCTGTACAGAGCTTAACGAGCACGTACCTTCCCACGCGTTGGGGGCCACTCTGTAAAAGGTGTGGTATACAGTATTGTTTTTTAAAAGCGGAATGTCTGAGCTTTTTGCGCTGTTTGTTTCCGATGCTGCGGAATCACTCTCCAAATAAAGAGCGACTGCGGTGGCATGTTTACACTTGCAGGCGACGCCAGCACGGCAGTCGCATCTGGCGAGAACAATCGTCCTGTCGTTGTCAAGCTGGTTCAGAGCACAATAAGTGGCCTTACGTTAGAAGAGTCACTCAAATAGACTATCAGGAGAACCGACTTTCATTGTGTGGGCTTAAGTGCAGTTCGATGTTCTTTCCAGGTCCGTTGCGCTATGTCTGCGGCGTGCAGCGTGCCCTTACGTCTACTTGTCCGTTGAACGAAATCTCCTTCACTTCATAAACATGGCCGGACTCGTGCAGCAGCTTCCCCTTCGACAAATTTGCGTCACGGAAAAGCTTTCGAAATTGGCAACAGCCTTAAATTTCGTCGTAATACCGACGGGCACACTGGTCCCCTTATGTAGTGCCCTCAACGCGGGCGCTTAAAGGCCGACGACCAAACTCGAGATTCCGCATGGCAGAAGACCCTCCTCTCCACGCCTTCGGGCGAGGGAAGCGAAGGATGGAAAGAAGGAACCAAGAGGGGCGGGCGTAAGTGGAAAGGGTAGGAGGGAGAGGAGGAAGCGGGCGAAAAGTGGAAAGCGCGAACTGGTCGTCGGTCTTTAAGGTGAAATAAATTACCGAATGAATTCGTCGCCATTGCTGCCCGGAGAGAGGTGGCAGGGAACAATAGGCGAAGGAGGCGACGCCGCCGGCGCGCTCCTTTCTTATATGTTCGTGCCATGGAGTTACTTGTTCTTTGCAGCGAACCTCGGCTAACTTCAAGAGTAGTGTTGCGTGATATCGAAGGATTGCTTAGGAACCTTACACTTCCAGATGATCCGGTTGTTCAGACTGTGCAATCAAAAGGCTCCCGCCCCCCCTTTTCTAACCTTTACATAGGCCACTACATTTTCTAGTAATATATCGTCCGTTCGTCTAACGTGACAAAACAAGTGACAATCTCTCCTCTTCAAAGGTCAGGGTCTTCGACAGCAAGAAGGACATCAGCGCGACCACGGACCTCTGGGCGTCCCAGCTGACCGATGGCGTCGTTCGCAGCGTCTTTGGCTTCCCGGACGAGGACGTAGCGCGCACCGACCTCGCGTCGGCCGCGGCGGGCGAGATGTGCCTCGTCAACCTGGTGGAGTTCTGCGGTTGTTGGGAGCAGGGCTTCACCCGCTTCAGCGTGCAGCCCTTCTACGTGAAGCCCGACCAGGCGACCATGGTGCCCATGATGAGCCAACGCAACGAGTTCGCGTACGTGCGCGACTCGGGGTACCGCTGCCTGCGCGTGCCGTACGAGTGCGAGGCCCAGCTGGTGCTCTTCGTGCCTTCCGAAATGGCGGGACTGGACGCCATCTTGCCGAGTCTGAGCAGCTGGGACCAGCTCAAGGCTGTCCTGGACCAAGCCATCTGGACCACCGGTGTGACCCTCACGCTACCCAAGGTGATCCCGTCCATAAATCCTATTCCACTGCGCAGAGGTGCCACCTTATTTGCTCACCGGCATTTTAAGAAATGAGAGTCCCGACCATACTATTATCGCTTCACAGCATACGGAATTGCGGGGAAATATTAACGCCCGGGAACGAAAGAACGGAGCGGGGAGGGTCTCTTAAGCTGACAGGAAGCAGCACTAAATACAAACACTTTTACTCGACTGTCGGTAGCCCTTGCACGGAAGCGTATTGTCTTCGGTTCAAAGGATGGTTTTTTGTTGTTGTTCAAAGTATGACGTCGTTTGTGACGCTGAGTGCGCACATGTCACTGACGATAATAAAGGGGTGTAGGGGCCAAAGAATAAATAAGAAGAGAAAAATGAGAGAGACAGAAAGAGAGAGGGGAGAAAAGATAGAGAAAAAAGGGGATGTCTCAGTTGTCATCCGTAGATTCAGTCATCAGCTTTCCTGCGATTTCCTTTGCAGTGACTTGTGGCCGCAGCAACTGTCAAGTCATCAAGGTGACATTATTACCGTTATCTTGCTGGTTGCACCCTGCTGCATACCTTGACAAACTCGCTCATGAACTTGCTCTCTCACGCTCACTCACACTCACCGCGTGATTGTGAGTGGCTGTGAGCGAGTTCGTGAAAGTTCGTGAAAAGCAATGCTACAACTAAAAGTTAAAATTAGTTTGTAATTTGAGCAGAAGTTACTCGGAAAAAGTAATTCCAAACTGCTAATTATCAAAATCAAAATGTAATTGAAAGTTACTAAATTACTCTGAAAAGTAGTTAAACTACTGTAACTTGAGTATTTAAACTACGTACAAGACTGTCTCGGGGTCATTTACGTTCCTCTTCGTAGTCGGCACAGGGCAGAAGGAGGTGCTTAGCGTCGGCTGGCTCCCCACAGGTGGGTCAGTTGGGGTCCAGGTTGGGTATGAATTAAGCGACCTATCCACACCGGGGTTAACACGCTTCAGGTCCTCAGGCGGTGGAGTATCGGGGCACTTTGACGGTCAAGGCCACGTGGAAGACAGGCTCGGAAAGCGCCTTTCACCACTTCCGGGTCTGGGTGTTGTAGAGCGATGGCTCTTTTAACAAGCAGCTTCGCACCTGAGGATCGCGGGAATGTCGAGAGCGGGCATCCTGGATCCTGATAGGCGCGTGTAGCCAGAAAGTCAGCGACTTCATTAGCTCAGGGTCGCTAAACTCGTCAAGCACAACTTTGTGTCCGAAAGTTGCGGAACGCGCTAATTGGACTCTCGCGACGCTGACGTCGCGCCGAGCGAGGTGTCAATCATTTGAAGCAAAGTTCATCGAGGCGCGCGTGCGGCGCGTGAGGGGCGCGAGGAGCCCGCTGATTGAACGGCTTCGCCGATGACGTAGCGCCCATTTGTCCCTACATCCCTACGCCAAGCTAAAATTAATGCTTTGCAGATTGTCCCTACGCGACCTGCTGACGCTCAAAATCCCTCCGAAGTTTGTGTTAAAAAGAAACCTCGTTTGTCGAAGTTGTCGCTGACGTCAAAGTGACGTTTCCGAACTTTGTGAGAGCCGTGGTTTGAGCTCGAGATCTTCGCTTCGGATCGAGGCGAAGTTAAACTTTGTCAACATGGCGGTGCCGTGCGCTGCGGCCGAGCTTATCTTCCGCCACCGTCGGCGTCGCTACTGGGACCACTGGGGACGCCTTTCAACTCCCCGACGACAACTTTCGGCGACAGTACCGGCTATCGAAAGCCGTTGTGCGTTGACTCTGCGACGAGCTTCGTTCGCCGCCTCGGACCGTGGAACAACAAGTTCTCTGCGCGCTCCGGTTCTTCGGAACCGGTAGCTTTCAAGGCATGGTGGCGACTGACGAGCACCTGTCAGTCTCCCACATGACTGTGCACCGGGCTGTCAGAGTTTTTTCGGCTGCCATCGCTTTTTTTTTTATTTTTTTTTTTCTGTAATATCCGAAGAGGTACTAATAAGCTGGTATACAATTCAGAATGTTGGAAAACAAACAAGAACCGGGGTAATTCTTGGGTAGGGTCGAGTCTCCCGGCAGCCGGCAGAATTATGTCCCCGAAATTCTACTGGCAGTCGTCACTCATTGGCGGTCAAATCAGTTCATCGACAGATTGTTTCATCGACAGGTGTCATCGACAGATTTTTTCATCGGCACGCGATGTAATCACATGAAAGAGATTGTCTTCCGTTAGAGGTATATACACATTAAGCATTTTCCCACCTTTAAACATGTAAGTGGGGTGTCCCATAACTAACACCCTAATAAGTGTAGCGATGGACCTTATAAAAAAAAAAATGTAAACTTCACACCTTTAAAAATGGGTGATTTTTTAAACACGTTTCTTAAAACGTATGATAATGCCTACACCTTTTTATAAAGATGGAAAACTACAATTCCCCTTCTCGTCAGGCACGTAGCCAAGGGGAGGAGGGGGGGGGGGTGGGGGGGGGGGCATAAGGCCTGTCCTTCCCGCCCCCCCCCCCCCGAAATTTTCCATTTTGCTGGGGCCTCCTCTCCTCCCTCCCCCTCATAGAGCACTTTGTCATCGGCGCCCCCCCCTTAAACGAAAATCTGGCTACGTGCCTGCTTCTCCTCAAGGTGTAATTACCGCAGTACATTTCTTTTTTGGGGTGTACACAGTGGCCCGGGACCCATTAATATGACTGAACAAATAAATTACACAAACCAGTCGCCGAAACAGCACGTTGCTTCTTGGCGAGTGTCGAGGCAATAGGGAATTTTCGTAGACCGGTCTGCCCCCTCCGCTAAGCGTTCCGCAACGAAGAAGTTGCTACTGCGCCTGCGCGCCGATAGCCTTGACTGTGGAGTTCCCGCTATCGTAGCGGGTTGCGGAGGGCCCTTGCGGGGCGGCGAAAACGATCTACGAAAACTCCCTAATATCGTCCGAAAACCGGCTTCAATATCGGCCGGATGTACGGTTTTGCGCCTCGTCCCTACATCCGGCAGGTATGGGAGTACCGATGCAAATAAACGATTTATGTCTAATAGCACTGGCACCACTGATTTCTTAGGAGGCTAGATCGTGGATAGAGGCCTGTATTGCTGGGGTCGAGTGGCACCACCGGCAGTCATCGCTTGACACAACTAAATTTTATTACGTTATAGTAAATTGTTCTCTACCATGAAACTTCTATCATGTTTCCGCAAATAACAGTTAATATTGTGGGCAAGAATATTAAACGCGTTAGAATACCAATCTTGTTTAACTAAATGTTGTGTGGTTGAGGGTCCAGGGCTACTTTGTTGGGCGTTAACTGTTATGTGTTTAATGAGACAAGGGCTACCGAAAGTTATTGTGGAGTCATCCGTGATTTCGGAGTCATCAAAGCTCAGCAAACGATAAGTTAGAATGCCTTTACTAGGGATTTTTGCATCGTTTTGACCGCTTGTACATAGTGCTTCATGGTGAAAGCTTTTTCTTTGAACTCCTGTGAGGGCTACCGCGACAAACTGAAACTCGGAGCGTGCCGTTCAGTCGCTCGACGTGCCATTTATTTAGCAACCGAAGCAAGCGACGTCGGTAAAGTCAATCGTGCTCCGGCCAATTTTTTTTTAATCGATGTTCAAACGCTTGACGAATGTCTATTTGATATCCAAGAACCCGACATAATCATCGCAGCACATCATAAAATGCTCGCCCTCGAGCACCGCGTACAAGCTTCCAATTTTTGCATGTTTCTTCCTTAGACTTGCGTGAATTGCCTCATGATGTAAAAGGCCAAAGCAACAAGGACGAAAATGAAGGGAGAACTAGACAGGACGCGGCATATTGCCTGTCGTCAAGCAATGGCCGCCGGTGAGGCCAGTGACGGGCTCCCAATTCGCGATACAGACTTGCACTGTGAGAGTTCTAATGCATTATACACCCACCGGGTGCTGCACGGAGAACAGGCCCGAACGAACTTGCCAAATGCACCCAGTGCAGACTGATGCTGTCGCCATAGATGTTGTAGAAAAGTACCGACCTCAAACCGAAACTAGCGCCTTTTTGTTCGCCGTGATGGGTGGGAATGCGAGAGTGCAGTCGCTGCCATCGTTTAAACGTTGGTTGCTGCAACGTGGAACTTACATTTGCGATGACTTCCACTTAAGCAACTCGGCAGTCAGAGATATCTACAGACGGCGTAAGTTTCCGAAACCAGTTGACTACAAAACAGCATACGCTTGAGGAAATTGATGGCTCTGTACGCGCAAGAGCTTGCTTCGTTTTAAGCATAATATTATGAGTGAATAACTGAAAGGATACGGCTTAAATCTAGTTCTTTGGAACAGCTAGCAATACGTTTCGTAAGACTTTTTATTTCCCTGGCATTGAGAACGAGAGCTTTCTCAAAACTAAATATGACGGGGCGAGATAGCTGCCATTCATATATGACTTTGCTTGAGTCTCGGGCAACGTCTCCATGTTTAGCCTTCCCGGACGCTGAGTAAATGCGTCGCAGGTTTCTGCTGTGGGAGCTTTGTCGAACAATGTTGCACTTTTCACCCATACACAAATGATGCTAGGCCTCGCGGCCCCTGTGGTTGTTCTGGGGCTTTCATTGCACACTGGTAGGTTTCAGCGTCTGTACAGCTACAAAACGACTCAAATTTCGCGAATAAAAGACGGGCCGTCGATTCCTCCCTTCGTGAAATATCAGACGCTTACAATTCAAGCTCGCGTCTGAGTTTGTGGCCCGCGGGACGCGATTTCGAGCAGAAAACCAACTTTTTCTTTCAGTTCCGCTGTGCGAATGCCTCATCGTAGCAGACGAACTCTCGTCGTCTGCTCTCGCTCCTCGCCTGGGCGAGGCATGACGGGATTGTCGGCGCTAGAGAGCCCAAAGACGACGTACAGCGAGCGGCGTGAACGCTCGCCTCCCCGCGCTGTCTCGTGCTCTCGTGCATCGCCTAGGGATCGCGGGGGATTTTTCGTCAAAAGTTGCGAAGTTGAGCGCGCGCAGGGAGGAGGAAACTTTGCGGCGTTCTTTTGGTCACTCCCCCCGCTACGTCAAAAAGCGAAGAATGTTTTGCTCCACGAGTTTAGCTACCCAGATGTCACAGTGGCTTCGAGGCCATTGGAAGACAATCTCGTAACCTTCTTTCTGGAGTTTGATCGCATCTCGTGCGACTGAACGTGCTAAGGGCGTAGATCGCTAAAGACTGGCTAAGAGGTCTAAGGTTACTCTCGAGTCACTCAAGACGACCCAGCGTAGTCCGCTTGCGCAGCCCGTTCGGATTCCCCAGAGGGCAAGTTGTATGGCGGCCAGTTCTGTTATTGTAGAGGAGGCCTGGTGCGTCAGACGCTCGCTAGTGCCCTACTGCAGCCTGGAAGAATACCGCTGCAGTTGCTATGCCTCTGGAACCGTTCACTGATTGGTCAGTGTACGCACGAGTCCAGAACTCGTACTGAGCGTCCAGATAATTCTCTTTGAGTTGCCGGGGGGCGACCACTGCAGTGTCTTTCTTGGCCCGCAGACCTGGTATGTAGAGATTGGTCGTGAGTGGGTGGGGCCTTATATGTAGCGTTGATAGTGGAACAAGTGGTGTATGTATACCAGCTATATCGTCAAGAATGCAGGGACGCGTTCCAAGTTGCGACTCAGAACGCTCGGCGATCGTTATCAGGAGCGTGATGGTGGAGTCGCGCAGTTGCTCATCTGGTGAGATGGCCGAGCGCTCTTTCTTGTAAGTGGTTCTTGACCGAGTTTATCCCGGCCTCTGTGAGCGTGTGTCATGACGAACCCGTGCAGGGAACTTTAATGCAAGTTTTTAGTGCAATGTGTTGTGCCTGTTCGATGTCTCTTTGAGCTGGTTTGTTCTTAGTGACTAGAGGTCAAGCGTACCGGGGGCTGCAGCCAGGATAAGCCTCCTACATTGCTGCAGCAGCATATGTTGCGACGTTCCCCAAAGTTGTCCAAACGAGCATGCTAAGGATGCTCGTGTGCGTTTTCATCTCCTGTCTTGTGCACTCAAAACAGCACTCATTACATTTTTTAGTAAGTTCAGCTAGTAAGAAGGGCCAGCGGTTACAGGACCTAATGACCACGAGTTCATACTGGCAAACAAAAACGTCTACCCTTATGCCACTCACATAGCACCTCGACTGCAGCATGATACCACTCACCCGTTTTTATTGAGTGAACCAATTAAAGAAAGACAAATGGTTGGCGTTCCGAGTGCAACACGGCGTAGTATATTTACACGCAGGAGATTCCGACGATCGGGAGTGTGAACGAAGACGCGGCCTTCTTTAGAGTATCGGATGACTGTCGGATCTGCAGGTGCAGCTCGAGTCTCGGACGCTCGACCTCAGGCAGGTGCTCCGGGACCACGAACTGGGCGCTCTGCTCAAGGGCGCCGGCCCGGCGGAGCCAGTGGGCGGCGACCCCCGGCTGGGTGGGGTGTACCACAAAGCCGCCCTGAATCTCTCCGAAGGGGGCCCAGACCGTGCCCCGCTGGGCTTTTCGGCGCTACTGTCCCTCTCCAGCCCGATCCCACCCAACAAGCCCATCCACTTCGTGGTGGACAGGCCCTTCATGTTCCTGCTTATAAAGAAAGGGTTCCTGGTCATGATGGGACTCGTCAGGGACCTCGAGCCCAGGAAGGAGCAGGACAAGTCCGCCACGTCTTGCAAATCCTGAAGTCCATCGTCGCGTGCTTCACGGAAGGGTCGCCTCTGTCGACCAGCCGAATTGTAATAGACAGTTTTCGTAGATTGTTCCGGTATCTCCCATAACGATACCCGATGGCAAAAGGATGCATCCGCAAGGCGTTGGCGGAGTGTCTGGTGTCGTTATCGGAGGAACGATGATCACGTCAGAGAGCTCACGCGCAGCTTCTGAAGCGCTTCTTTGTCTTCGGACGCATTTTTTATGAATGTAATAACGCTGACATGTTCTTTTTTTTCTTCTTCTTTATTCCTGGACAGATCTATTCCAAATCATGCTCGTGTCATCTGCGAAGATGCCATATTTACACCAGAATGTTTCTGAATTCGATGCCTTTTTTTTTTTTTAGACGTCCAAGCAGACTACATTTGCGGACAATGAATGAAGCAGTAATATTAAAAGCTGTCCTACTTTTAGGATATATTAATGGTACATTTAGGTACAATTTTACGCTGGTGCTAATACATGTTACTTTTTTTTCCCTGTAACTATACCATGTAATAGAGAGTTTTAGTAGATCGTTCCCATGACTCCGATAACCATACCCGATACTCCGCCACCGCCTCCCTTGCGCATGCATAGTATCGTTATCGGGGCTATCGGAGGTATCGGAACGATCTACTAAAACTCTCTCATAATGGTGTAGTTACGAACTATACCATTATTCGTAACTATACCGTTTTATAATGGTATACACTTATACCTATACCGCGCGTTTCGCTAGATAAACTAATTAAAAGGACGCTCTCTCAACGTCGGCAGCTAGTAGAGAGTTTTAGTGGATCGTTCCCATGACTCCGATAACGATACCCGATACTCCACCACCGCCTTCCTTGCGCATGCATAGTATCGTTATCGGGGCTATCGGAGGTATCGGAACGATCTACTAAAACTCTCTCATAATGGTGTAGTTACGAACTATACCATTATTCGTAACTATACCGTTTTATAATGGTATACACTTATACCTATACCGCGCGTTTCGCTAGATAAACTAATTAAAAGGACGCTCTCTCAACGTCGGCAGCTAGTAGAGAGTTTTAGTGGATCGTTCCCATGACTCCGATAACGATACCCGATACTCCACCACCGCCTTCCTTGCGCATGCATAGTATCGTTATCGGGGCTATCGGAGGTATCGGAACGATCTACTAAAACTCTCTAGTAGTAGCGACCCTTCGTGGGAGGGTCGCTTTTATTTTAAATTTGTGCCATTTGTTTGCTTTCATTATTTTTTCCTTGTACTATACTGCAGCTTTGCACACCTATTCGTCGGGTTTCCAACGATGATGAGACGATAATTGATACGCGTCGAATTTTACCGCGCGAGTACCACACACGTCGGCTAATGATCCACATAGTTCCTTTCGTCGACAGAGAGATTAGCTCGCGTCTTCTATACGCTATAAAGCTTTAAGTACAAAAATGACATTCCATTTCTCATTATTTGCACATACTCGGTTTGAACTCAAACACTTCAGTAGAAGTGTGCCTGGTAGTGGAAAAACTTATAAAATTGAATAAAATCACCAACCAAATCCTATATACGCCGAGCAAGTGTTCCAAATTACGTCTTTCGCGCTCTGAAGGCAATGTGAAGTATGCCTATCAGGACAAGAAAGCGAACGCTTAGGAACCGCGTGATGACGAGGCAGCCAATAAGCGCGCGCCGTCATTGCTTGAGGTCGAAGTTAAACACAAGCACGTGGAGCGTTTGAAGGGTGCGCCAAGGGCAGAAGAACTTGCAGGCTGTACAGACGCTTCCACTGTTTACCTGTTCACGAAAATCAGTCCACACGTGCTAAACCACAGCCCAGCCAGCGCTCGCTGGCTGGGCATTGGTGAGCGCCCAGCCAGCGCTCACCAATGCGCCCAGCCAGAGCGTGCGCCTGCATAGCACACAAACACAGGAATGAACGCGCTTTGATACGCTTTTATGGAAAGGTGTATAAGGGGGCCCCAACGTTTCACAACCGGCTCGAATTTTTTTTTTTTCTTTCTATCTGCGGGGGCGACTGTTTACATATAAGGGACAGCATCTTCGTTTTCTTCTACGGTGATGGTCTCTTCGAGCAAATCGTTGTTTGCATGTTTATACAGCCGGAAGTTAGTCTGCCTCAGTGGGCGTCTGGTGTCTCAGCTGTAGATGAGCAATTTAGCCAGTACGGTATACATCCGCTTGCCTGGGGTTTTTAACGTGTAACACGCAGTAGTGATACACGACCGCACGCCGGTATAATGCTCATCCAGATCGAAAGGGGCAGGGGTGGAGATTGAACCGCTGGTCTGTTTTCTTTTTTTTTTTTCTCCTCTTTGACAGGTGACTAAGTCCGTTCACGTAGGATGATGGCAATGTGAGAGTGGACATATAGACCAGGGGTCTCAAACACTCGGCCCGGGGGCCGCATGCGGTCCGCGACTCGCTGGGATGCGGCCCCCAGGCAAAGAACACCCGTTCCCATGTCTCGAGAGCCTAAAATGGCATGCGCTATAAATATCTCATGTCGCCGAGTCATTTCCGCTGGGCGCGTGCTCTGCCCTTATAACGTATCAAATAGTCTATACCGTTTTGTTTTCATTTGCCTCGCGTTTCGTTTGAATCTTCGATTCCGAGCTTTCTTCACTCAAGAACGGACCTCGGCTCCACGAATTTTCGCTCAGAGGGAGAAAAATAGATAAACCTATGAATTTAAGATTCTCACCTTCAAGTATTATCACCATTAAAAGACGAGCTTCTTTTTTCCCCTCTAAACTGCCGCTATACAAACCGTGAGTAAAGCAAAATCTGTCCTATGAAAATAATTTCTTGGGACATGTTGAGCTGGAATAATTTTTAAGCGAATAGAGCGACGGGAACGAAGGCGTGCTTGGTCTCTTGTTCTATTAAAGATGGCAGCACGTTGGCGGAGTGGTGCCATTTAAATTCGTGTCATTATCAAGATGATTATATCAGGTAAGGGCCCAAGTTAGTTCAATAAAGGAATCAAAGCTGAAGATGTCACTACCAAACTGGGAGTTTACAAAAAGCAGTAGCACGAGGTCCTTTCATAAGACCTCTCAATCTCCCCCCTCCCCTCCCCGCTTCCCCGAAAGGTCTAGGGCCTTACGTTTGCCCTCAACCTTTCTGGAGTGGGCTATCTGGCCCCGACACTCGAATGAGTTTGAGACCACTGCTATCGACGATGGCAAGGGAGGCGACTGGCCTCCGCCGTGTCTCTGGTCGTGTAGGCAAGCCCGTGCAATAGACCTATTGCTATAGACGCTTTACACACGCGCCAAATTACAGCCGCCATTGATGACCTTCAGTTGTCTTCCCAGATGCCAAGCAACCAAAGCAGGCGTTGACGAGCCTCCACAAAGGTCAGTGCTGTGGAGGAGGACAGAGCAGAACCTAAAAGGGCAATAACCTGCCCTGCTGTAGTAACAATCAAGTGAAGTAATTGTAATAAAAGGTAACAAAAACTGAAGGTCACTTATGGCGGCACCCATGCACAGCTGCTGCAAAGCGTCTTGCAAGAATTGGTGTTGCACGCGCCGCACGTGTTGGCGTCAGCCGTAGTAACTTTTCTGAAGCAAATATCTAAAACAAATGGTATCTTGGAGGTGCGTACGCTTTATTTAGGTTATTTCCTTTGAACCTTTTATACGGGGAAGGCGTGCGCGTGTGGTACGTGGAACACCAATCCCTGCGATTCTCCTTGATGCCTGGGTAATATAGCAATAGGTCTATTGCAGCCGCTGCCGGAATTTCTTCTCAACATTAATGATGCGCATGTTTGCGAAGTCGATGCGATGGTCATTGTTCTCACGGAGCTTCGCAACAGATCTGCGCTTGCGGTCGTATGGAAGTCCTTTGACAAGGGCGTTTTTTACGAGTATTCCGCCAATCGTTGTTGTGGAAACGCGCTAGGCACGTGCCACAGGCGGGACATCCGCCGCCAGTCACTTCCAAGGGCCGCTCCTTCCAGTGCTGCGCCGCCATTTGCTTCCAGGGGCCGCTGGAGACACGGGCCTCGTGCATTGGCGACTTGGACGCTACCTGCAAGACAAACGCGAACTCACCGAGGGGATTTAGGTCAAATTGGCGCACGTTTTTCTGTGTTGTCAAATTCTTCCTGTGAGGTTTTTCCTTTCGCCGATGTAGGTAGCGGGGCGCTCTGCCCGTGGAACTGACTACACCACACCCTGCACTCTTTCTTAAAGGGACCATGAAATGACCTTTTTTAGTTTTGCCCAAATAACTTTTTCATTAAACCTTCAATGTTCACTGAACGCCGAAAATGCATCCGTTTTCGTTTCGGTTTATTAACTTCTACACGAGAAATTATTGAAATATCGGGTTTTTCTTCCTCTCCAACTCACCGCAAAGCAAGCGGCGGCGTAATTTTGACGGTCGTGACGTATCCTATGGCAACAGGCAGTAGGAGAGTGGGAGCGTTAGCGGCAAGCTGCCGGTAGGTTTTACCATAGGGTTTAACTGCACTGGTGGCACCGACGCCACTGATATATTTCCTGAATCACTTCTTTTCATCACCGCGATAGCCATGGAAACATCGCAGCTGAGCGAAATTCAATTGGATATGTTGTGCTACAGCGACAGCACGGGACTGGTCCCATACGCCGGTACGAAGCGCAGCCGGTCGTCAGCACGACAGCCGCTTCTTCGCCGCCGTCAGCCGTTTCCGCGGTATTTTTAAAAAGAAGGGGACGCGCTGTCACTCACTGGCAGAAAATACAGAGTTTTCTATCGGCTCAGTTTATATCGGACAGTTTGTACAAAAGAAACTAGGTACTAAATAATATTTTGTGGGACTGTGGCGCTTATTTGTGCCAAATGAAGCGAATAATAGGGAAGCCAGTTATACCTTCTTTCCATATCATCGCTGCCTGTCGGATTTGGCTTAAATCCGATAGACATCGTTGACAATATTAAAACACCCTGTGTGTTTTGCTGTTCTTGTTGTTGAAAATAT